TAGAAATTAATGACAGAGAATAAAGCTTCTAAAACCACCCATATAGAAGTTAAATACCACCCTGGTTGAATACAATTGGGTTATAGAAGAAATAAAAGATGAAATGAAAAAATTCCTCTAAAAAATGATAATGAAAATACAACATATTTAAACCTCCGGTTCAGAGATGCACCTAAAGCAGCCCTCAAGGGGCAGTTCATAGGAATGGACAAACATATAAGAAAGGAAGAAAGAGGTAAAATAAATGATCTAACTCAATACCTCCATCAAATAGAAAAAGAACAACAATCTAACCCTATATACTCTAGGAAAAAAAAAGGAAATTATAGGAACAAGAGCTGAAATCAATGAGGTAGGAAACAGAAAAGCAATTGAAACCATTAACAAGACCAGGAGCAGATTTTTTGAAAGTTGTTGTTGTTGTTGTTGTTAAGGGTCAATAAAACCAGCCTGCCTCCCTGACTTTCTCCTTCCCTCACCATTTCCCATCCTCTCTGTCTCTATTTCTTGGTTTCTTTTTACTTTATCTGCCCCTTTCCCATTCTGTTGTAGTCCTCCCCTTCTGTTTTCTGTTTTCCTTATGCTTTCTGCATACATTTCTGACCACGTCTGTTCACTGGTCATGTCTCACACTCTTCTTTCCCCTTTCTGCCTTGCCTCTTACCCTCTTTTTCTCTCCATTTCTTTCTTTACATATCTGTCCTCTCGCTTTCTCTGTCACTGCTTCTCCTCTTTCTTTGTCCACTCGCTCCTCCACACCCCTGTTTCTCTCTTCCCTACCCCATACTTCCTGTCCTGCTTCCACCTTCCTCCTCTGTCTCCTTCATTGCCTTCATCTCTGTCTCCAGCCTGTACCAGATCTGGCTGGGCCTCAAAAACCTAGAAGAACCTGACGAAACAACCCAGTACGCCCAGGTCAGCCTGGACATCCAGCACCCCCAGTACAACGTCAGCCACATGAAGAACCCCTTTAACGAGGACCAGTACGACTACAGCGATGACATCATGCTGCTCCGCCTGAAGGAGCCCGTGCAGCTCACAGACACGGTGCAGGTGCTGGAACTGCCCACCAAGCCGCCCGAGGAGGGCAGCGTCTGCATCGCCTCGGGCTGGGGCAGCCTGGACCCCAACGGGAGTAAGTCCGGGACCTCCTGTGTGGGAGGAGGCGGCTGAGACAGCCAGGGCTGAGGGAAGAGGGGGTTTACGTGCGCATGTGAGTGGAGACACAAGCCCGTTCCTCCCTGGCCTGCAGCGATGTACCCAGATGAACTGCAGTGTTTGAATCTCGAAGTCAAGTCCAATGAGGTGTGCGCTGAGGCCTACGCCCACTTGATAGCGGACAGCATGCTGTGCGCCAAGGCTCCCCGAGGAAAAGACACATGTGTGGTGAGTCGCCTGTCCCCCTCGACCCCACTGGGAGATGTGGGGGGCAGGAGGGCACCCAGAGAGCAGCTTAGGACCCCCAAACTGAGCTGCCGTCTGTGTCCACTGCTTGCTGGGTGCCTCCACTCCCTCCCCTGTGCTCCCCCTTCCAGACCCACACCCCTCTAGGTCCCACCTGAGTCTCACCCCTCCACACGTCACAGGCTGACCGTTCCTCTCCTCACCACGTCTTTACTGAGCACCTACTAAGTGCCTGGCACGACTGCAGACCCTGGAAGGACAGCAGTAAACAAGTTCCCCACTTACGGATGAGTGTGGGGGTGGGGACAGACGTAGCCGCATACAGGACTGTGTTCACCAGGAGAGCTGGGGGGTGGGGCGGTGATAAACGAGCTGGTCAGGAAGAGATGGAGTAAATACGCAGAGCAGGGGAAGGTGAGCTGTGTGGAAATGGACAGGAAGAACTGAGGGACCAGCTGTGCAGCGGCCCCACGGTGGAGAGGACCAGGGGTGGCTGAGGTGGGACAGGCCAGGGGAGGACGTGGAGAAGGACCCTGCAGACCCTCCCAGGCCACAGTGGGGACTCTGCTCTTGATCTGACTCGGGTGTCAGCAGCTCCCTCTGGCGGTTGTGTGGGGAAAACAGCCTGCAGGGAGGGAGACCCAGAGACAGTGAAAGGGGGGCGGTGAGGAGGCCTGGAGGAGGGGGAAGCGCGAAGGAGGGGAGGGGGAGAGCCCCCTTACATTTGACAGGGAGTCCACAGGTCACGCTGACCATGTGAAAGCGGAGAGAGGCAGAGAGCAGCCGAGAGTTTACTGTCCTGAATGACAGCTGAGCCCCTCCAAGGAGACATCCACACTGCATTACACACACACACACATCTGCAGCCCCACTTACACACACACACACACACTCACTCCAGTGACAACATCCCAGTTGAGCCCCGCGACCTTCACCATAACCACCCCCTCCTCCACCCCAGGAAGCCCATCCCCTAATCACTGGACCACAGCATCAGTCCTGATCCATCCTGCCCCGTAAACCTCTGACCAGCTCCTCTTCTCCCCCACAGTGCCCCCACCTGGGCTTATACCCACCTGGGTCCTCCCTCTGCCCCATCTTTTCTAGTCTCCGGCCTTCAGTCTCCCCCCCTCCCTGAGCCCAGTGGGCCCATCTGCTGTCAGATCTGACTGACTGCTCCTCCCCTAGGCAGCTCAGGGCTCTGAGGGTGGGATGTCTTACCTTGGAAACCTTCCTGGGAGAGGTGCACCTGAACTTCAGAGGGGTCATGTGAATGGATCCTGCCTATCCTTCCACAACCTGTCTGAAGGGACTGATGTCCCAGGCCCTGCCCCTGGGCAGAAACTGGACACTAAAATGTCACCATCCCCACTGGACAGGACTCTAGGCCCTGTCCCCCGCATTGGAATCTCTGACACTCTCCATTCCCTGGAGTTGGGTAATGGGAGGTCTGTGAGCGGCAAGTCCCCCTCACCTTTCCCTTGTGACCCTAGGGTGACTCAGGTGGCCCCCTGCTCTGTGACGGCATGCTCCAAGGTATTACGTCATGGGGCTCCAGCCCATGTGCCGCCAGATATATGCCAGCTGTCTTCACCAGAGTCTACGCCTACAACGACTGGATCAGGGACACCATGGCAGCCAACCCCTGAATGCCACACCTCACTTGAACCCCAATAAAATTGAATGCACAGCAGCGTCTGGTGTCAGTAGCCTTTATTGATGTGGGGGCCCTGGGAGCCCCCACCCCACCCTAGGTCGCCCACCTGTGTGCAGTCAGGGCAGGGCGGAGGAGGAGGGTGCTGGCCAGATGGAGGTGGAGGCAAAGGGGCCCAGCAGGCACCCTGAGTGGTTCACCCAACCCTGACCTGAGAGGAAGGAGGGCGACAGAGAGTCAGAAGGCTGAGATTGGTTGGCACCCACATTTAATTGTGGGCAGAGGAGTTAAGAGTGACGCTTGCCTCCCACACGGGGGTGGCCGGCCCTGCAGACTTGGTCTACCAAGGGCAAGCAGGGTTCAGTCCACCTGGCAGAGCCCACACTGTGTGCATGGGGAGCCAGATCTGTAAGACCAGGGGTGCACCCACGTGGAAGGACCTCAGGTTGAAGGACCATGGGAGTGATGGGCTCAGGAGGCCTCCCGGGGTGGAAGCTGGGAGACGATGCAGTAAGCAGGACAACGTCTCCAGGGCAGACTGTCCAGGTTATAGGGAGCGGGGTCTCAAAGGCAGCGCCGGGCCCTAATTCACTAAGGATCAAGGTGTGAATGCGCTGAAGGGGGTGTGGTCCATCACCTGGCCCCGGACCAGTCAGGGTTCTTCTGCAGAGCTCACACATTCGAAGAGACCTTTTGGGGTCCCCTGTGCATGCTGGCTGCACTGACCAGGTTCAGAGATGTCTGGGAGACCACATCGGTGCACCTCGAAGCCCTGCGGCGGGAGCTCATCTGCCACTCCTTGGTGGGCTTCCCTCTGCCCACATCCCCAAGTGGTTCATGTAGGACAAGGTGCCTGCAGGGGAGGGGGGGCTCTAGACTCCCAGCCCCACCAGCTCTCCACCTCCCTTGATCTACCTGCCCTCTGCCCATTTCCATCCAACCTAAGTGAGGGGAACGTAGCCCCCAGCCCTGCCCATGGTCCACATGCCCCCACAGTCCTCCTCTAACTCCAGGCCCTTCCTGCTCCCCTGTGAGGCCCCACCCCCACCCCCCCGCCTGAAAACTCATCTTTACCTCATAAGACCCTGTCTCCTACCAAACCCATTCCCACTCAGGGTGACTCTCCATTGGATTTTGAGGCTGTAAACCTTTGCTAAAATCTTCAGAAAGACTTTGGTCTTTCTTCAAGAACTACTGGTGGTCCTGAACTGACAACCTTTGGGTTAGCAGTCTGACATGTTATGCATTTGCCTCCAGGGTTTCTTCCCTCTTCTACAAGGAACTGCCAGCAGTTCACCTGGAGGATCCGCCATTCCTAGGCCCCGCCCTCAATAGGCCCCGCCCTCCACATGCTCCCTCCCTTCTGCCTGAAGCCCTGCCCTACTCTTCTTAGGCCCCGCCCCATACCCCCGCCCTCC